TCATTGAGAAAAATTGCACCCATTGACATTCATCAAATCTTGAAGAACATTTATGGAGACCAAACAGTGGATGTTAGCACAGTGAGTGGTGCATTTCAGCAGTGGGAACAAGAAGTCACCTCTGGTGGTCCTGCATAACTAGTGATAGGACTAGAGGCAATGGCCTCAAGTTGTGCCAGGGGAGGTTCAGGCTGTATGTTAGGAAATACTTCTCCCAAGGAGTGGTCAGGTACTGGAATGGGCTGCCCAGGGAGGTAGTGGAGTCACTGTCCCTGGAGGTGCTCAAGAAACATTTAGATGTTATACTAAGGGACATGTTTTAGTGAGGAAATATTGGTGGTAGGTGGACGGTTGGACTGAATGATCTTGGAGGTCTTTTTCAATCTTGGTGGTTCTATGATTCTATGGTGCAGATTTTTATGAGCACATGCCGCATTTTGAAGAGTTAATCATGTAACACCCCTCACTCCCCTCAGGAGAAGGGGGGGAAGAAAGAAGAAAAATCTTGACTGAGATTGGAGAAACTAATTTATTAAAAGGAATGTGAGATAATACAGAATAATTAAGAATAATAAATCAAATGAACCAAAAATAAACCAGAAAAGAGAGAGTCAGTCTGAGTTTTTATTGTCAGGCCCTCACTACTGGCCACCTGGAAAAAATGAGAGATCTTCCAGGTGAGGAGGAATCGGAAATCACATCTCCCAGAGCCAGAACTTACATGAAATAGTTGAGTCTGCTAAAAGCACAGCACACAGGAAGTACATCCAACACTGTGCTTAAGCATCAGACAGTCTGCTGCATGATGCCATGATATGGAATACTGATAAAACCAGGACAGTGCAGCATGCAGGTTCCTGTTCATCACTGGTGAAAATACATAGCTAATGGTGGTGACTATGTTGAAAAATAAGTGGTTTGTAGCCAAGAATTGAATTTGCTCTATCAAATAATGTTACCTGTGCTCTTTGTATCTGTTTTAGTTTACATGGAAATAAATAGGAGGCATTACTTTCAGAGTGACCTACATGCATCTGTTACAACTCCCCAATTTACATCCTACAAATTAAGTTTATTCTTGTAATCTTAAATTCATTTATTGATTCTTTGCCCTGGATCTCACTCAGCAAGTCATTTTCCACACAGAGCAATTAGATACTTGCTTGGAAAAGACAACATCACTGTATTTCTACTGTAAAACTATCCAGCTTAGAATTCCCTGCTTTATAAACAGGGACCATGTGATGGTATTAGCTCCCCTTTTCCTAGTAACTCATATGCATTTGCTTAGGACCAGGTGCTGTCAAATTACCCACCTTGGATGCTGGAGTTATCCTCCGTTTTGGTTGTTTTATTTGTTTCTGCTGGGTTTGATGGGCAGTCACTGTCTGGTTTTCCAAAGATATACTGGGAAGCTGTAGCATTTTGCTGATAGCTGTAGAGGTGTCTACTGGTGAGGGCTCTTGGAGTTTCACCTGGGAGGAGAAGGACTCCAATCCAGGTGGAAGAACAGGTACTGCCTGCATTTTTTGTTGCTGCCGTTGAGTCAGCTGGCTCAGAACTGGGGATGGTTCAGGCTGGGATTTAAAGTCTGGTCAGTATTGGAGAAAAAAAATCAAAATTAAAGCATTAAGCTTTGCTCTTCTGCTCTTTATGAAAGAATCTAGGTGACCTGACAACTCTTATTTTCTAAGATGTGCAAGTCTCTTCCAGACATCATCACACGAATTCCACGTGCAACATAACCATTGCAATAACAAGGCCAACATTTGATATTTTCTACCTTAAATGAACAGCTTTTAATCAAACATTTTCACATTTATAAAGAAAACTAAATAAAACTATTATGTAATATTGTACATTAGGCATCATAGTACTTATTAAAAAATGAAATGCAATAGTTAGTTAAGAGACAAAATTCAGAAAAGACAAAATGTAGTACATTCTTATATTCAGCTAGGAGAAGCATATACACAAAGACCAAAATATTTATTTTCCAGGATTTGCTGAGAAACAAATTCACAAAGTTCACTTAAATAGTCATAGTCAGGCATGCTAAATCAAAAGATGTTACTACATGAAGACTTAACTTCTAAACATTCAAAATGTTAGGCTTAAGCCTATCACAGCTTAAGTTTGTGATATATTTGTAATATCTATTACCAGCAGATAAGCTTAACTGAAATGTTGTAATCAATTTTATTATTAGGATTGCATTAAAAAATGAAGTCTGTCATCAAGGCCATTATAAGCTTTTTTTTTTTTTTTAAAACAGGCTAATAGAAAGAGATTACATCAAAGCACTTACCAAACTGACTGAGGACTGAGGACTGAGTAATGGATGGTTTTAGACTCCAAGATGATGTGGCAGTTATGGTAGCATTGGTAGAGTTACTATTGTTTTGTTGAGAGGTAAACTGACCTAGATCTGGGGATTTTAGTTGTTCCAAAATTTGGGATCCAGTAGAGTTTGCCAATTTAGAGGATCCAAGATCTCCAAAGCCAGAAGAAAGAACTGGAGACTACCAAAAAGACAAGGAAAAAAAAAAAGGAGGAATGGAATTAAGTATTTAATAAATAATTTGAACATAATTGTAAAGTCAGTGCCTACAGCTACTATTTAGCAACAACTAAAACCTCTTCAGCCCTAGATTACTAATAAATGAAAAATTCAGCAGTTGTATTAGTGGTAACAAGAGGATCCAGCTCTATGCTACAATTTCACCACTTTTACAACAGTACTGACTTTCTTGAATGCACACATCCCCAAAATCATTTAATTACCAATAGCTAAACAGATTTTCAAAGAATACAAATGCTCAATTTTAAATCTTCAATCATTAAAGAAGGGAAGCCTTTTTATTATTATTATTTTCTTTTCATCTCTCCAGAATACTCAGAAATAGTCATATTTCCACAAAAAAGCAATCAGATATATCCAAGCATGTATCACATCTGTTTTCTAGCATAGAATTCTTCACTATAAACAAATTATTTCATTTTTATTCTATATCAGTATGCAGTAAATGTATCTGTTTTGTACTCAAAAATTAATACAAGAACTTCATGTAAACCAAGAAACAACCACCAAGTAACAAAAAGAAAAACAGCTGCTTGTGTGAGAGGATATTCTTAACCCCATTTCTGCAGCATTTGTAACCTGAATTTTACAAATACTGAAATGTTTCATGAGATGACCAGTACTAGAAAAGTTGTTTAACCTAAAGTATTTGCTCACGAAGAGTACTTAGAAGAAGATAATTTTACCAGACTCTGAGAAGAACAGGAGTTTACAGCACTGGAACTGCCAGTTCCTGATACCATCTGAGAGCTATGCTGAGTATTTGTGAAGACTAGGGCTTGGCCAAAAGTCTGCTGCTGAGGAGCTTCAAATGAGTTGCCTTCTGTCTCTTGAGTGGAGGTCACAGTCTTTTGAAGCAATGCTACCAAATCAATGCTGTAAGAAAAGTAGTTTGGCTAGAATAAACATGATGATTAGGCTGTGCAGAAATTAAAGAAAGAAGAAACAATATTATATAAAGTTGCCATACTGGCAATTGAACTATTGCTGATCAGCAGCCTTTAAGAATATTGTTTGTCTGCCACACAAAAGCTCTCTGGACAAAGAGAAAGAACAAAGGCTTCTGCTAGAAAGTAGAATTCTGCTAGCTGAGAACTTCCATTACAGTTAGAATCTAAATCATCTTTGCACTCTTTTCAAAAAGATTATGAACTTCTTGTAACATCATGCATCACATAATCTATATGATCAATATTAGCCAAGTAAATGGGGAGAAGTTACAAAATATACATAAATGTTCAAGTGTCTTTCCAGCCTATTATATATTATATTAAATATATTTATATTTAATATTTATGTATAATATATATAATTATATATATAATATAAACAATATAAAATTTATATAATGTATATATATATAAAATTCACATTGCATATCACACTATTCCTCTAAAAAGAACAAGAGATCATTAGGAAGATCAGAGCCCCTGACAAGATGCAGCTCTGACACAGTGTGGGCAAAACCAGTAGCGATGGTGTTCAAACCCCCATACATATAAAGGCTGTTCCTGGGGAGTGCAGTGAACAGGACATACAAAGAGGGCGTGGTATGGCAGTTTGCACAGGAAGGGTGAGCAGGGAGGGTGCCAGGAAGGCTGCTCTCTGATCATCTGGGAACACTAGGGTGTGGCACTTTATGGGAACAAATATGGTGAGCACTCACCACAACAGCCAGGCTGAGGCAGCAACCCAGACCAAGGGGTCACAACCTTTTGGGCACCCAGACAGACCTCCAGAGGAGCAACAGTGCTGTCCATACCTTTGGTTGTGGGGAACTCCAGAATCTGGAAGCCCCTCAAGGGCTGAAGGGAAGAGGGGACTGTCATGGGTGCAGGCATGCCCTGCTCAATGAACTACTCAAGCAGATGGCCAGGTTGCAGGATAAACAGGCTTAGAGACATCTGAGAATCAGAGAGGGAGATAGATAGGAGGAAGTCTGAACCGACACATGCTGACTGACAGCCCCCTCCCTAAGTCCCTGCAAGGGGAAGAAGCTAAGCCATCTTCCCACCTTGAGGAAAAAGGTCACAATAACATGCAAGGTGCAGGGGGGGCTGGATCCTCATCTCTGCTCAGAGCAAGAGGAAGCGTCTCACCCCATCTTGTGCCCCTGAGCAACAGATACGAGACTCTGGAAAAAGAAGAGGGTCTGGATATCAGTCAACACAGGAAATAACAAGCATATTAAGCAGGGCAAACTGAGGAATCACATCAAAACTAGTGCCACCAAAAAAGGGTGAAGAGTCTTAGTAATTGAGGACTCCTCGCTGAGGGGTGCTGAGGTCCCCATTTGCCACTTGGATAACCTCTCCAGAGGGGTTTGTTGTCTGCCAGAGGTGCCTCTTAGAGATGTCAAGAAGAGGCTACTGTCTCTGATAAAACAGAAGACTGTTATCCACTCATTCTCATTCATGTTGGGTCTCAGGAGTTTGCAACAAGAAAACTGCAGACCATTAAAGGAAACTTTGCATCTCTTGGGAAGACATTGAAGGGATTGAGGGTGCAAGTAGTGTTCTCCTCTGTCCTCCCAATTAGCAGCTGGGACCAGGAAAAGAGAACAGCCCAGGTAAATGACCGTTTGCATAGGTGGTGTCATGATCAAGGCTTTGGGTTCTATAATTTTGGACAGGCCTTTGAGATACCGGGTATGTGGACATCAGATGGAATGCAAATGAGCACGTGGAGCAAAAGCTTTCTGAGAAGCAAGCTGTCTGGATTGATTACCATGGCTTTAAACTAGATACAATGGGGGGAAGGGAATGGAGTTCTATGTGGCAGAGAAGGGCTGGGGAATGTTGTCACTTTAAGGAAACAGTAGGGAAAAACATCTGAATCATCCCAAAGGATCTCGTGAGAACTCCTCAGAGAAGGTAATGTTGCCAACAGCCCTGCTGAAGTGCCTCTATACCAATGTATGCAGCACAGGTAATAAGCAGGAAGAGTTGGAAGCCATGGCACAATTAGAAAACTATAACCTAATCACAATCATGGAGATATGGTGGGATGATTCACACAACTGGAGCACAATGATTGAAGACTACAAGCTTTTCAGAAGAGATAGGCAGGAAAAGGGGTGGAGGAGTTGCCTTCTATGTTAATAGGTGGATAGAATATGAAGAGCTGCCTCTGAGAAACAGCCACAATCAGGTTGGGAGCTTGTGGGTGAAAATCAGACTGGACTAATAAAAGACATGGTGGTTGGGATCTACTACAGGCTGCTTGATCAGGGGGAGCCTGTGGATGAGGCCTTCTCACTTAAACTGCAGTAAGTGTCCTGCTTGCAGGCTCTCACCTTGATGAGGGATTTCAACCACTCAGATGTCTGCTGGGAAAGTGTCATGGTTTGGCCTGGTTTGGTGACAAAAAGAGATGAAAGGACCCATGGACCCACACCCCAGGAAACAGGGAAGGGAAAAAAGGTAGGGAGATGGGCCTAGACAAGGAAAACAGCAATGAGCTAAGGGGAAAAACTTAATTTACTAAATATAATATTGAAATGTGAGATAATACAATATGATTGGAATTGAAGCTAATAAATCAAATAAAATGAGAGAGAGAGTGTCCAAAACTGAAGTCCTTACTCTAATGCTGTAGGTGAGATGGCTAAGGAGCACACAGAGCAAAGCGGGAAAAAATAGAGAGAGACTCATGACTTCCAGTCAGTTTTATATTTCCCCCTGAATGGAAAATGGAAATGGAACAAATAAGTCTTCTGGGAGTTGTAGTTCATTCTTCTCTTCTGAGACCAGAACTATCAACAGTCCACGGAACTGCAGCATTAACTCTTAAACTCTCAGTGCACTGCATTATGTAATGATGTAGAATACCAATAAACAAACCACAAAACCATGAAAGAAAGCAATGTGGTAGGCTGCAAGCAATCCCAAAGACCCCTCCAAAGTAATGAGGATAACTTTCTGGTCCAGGTATTAGACAAACTGATCAGAGGATAAGCATTTCTGGACCTGGTGCTCACACAGAGGAGGGCTCATTAAAGAAGTTAAGACTGGAAGCACTATGGGTTGTAGTGACCATGCCCAGGTAGAGTTTGTGATCTTGAGGAGGATGGGCCTGGCAAAAAGCAAAGTCAGGACCCTGAACTTCAGGAGAGTAAACTTCAGGCTATTTAAGGGATTACTGAGTAAGATCCCCTGGAAAGCTGTCCTTAGAGATAAAGGAGTGGAGCAAAGCTGGCTACTCTTTAAGGATGCCTTCCTGAGAGCACTCTGTCCCCCAGTATAGGAAAACAAGCAGAGGAGGCAGGAAACCAGCATGGCTTGGCAAAGACCTGCTGCTCAAACTGAGAGATAAGAAGAACGTGTACAGGCAGTGGAAACAAGGATGTGTCACCCAGGAAATACACAGCAATGCTGTTTGGACACGTAGAGATGGAATCAGGAAAGCCAAGGCATACATAGAACTGCATGTGGTGAGGGATGTAAAAAACAAGAGATTCTATAGACACGCTGGTCAGAAGAGACAGGCTAAAGAGAGTGTACTCCCTGTGATAACTGAAAAATAATTGGCTACAACAGACATGGGGAAGGCTGAGGTACTCAATGAGTTCTTTGTCTCAGTTTTCACTGGCTGCAAGGATTCCCATCTCTTACATCCCTGAACCTCTAGGTGGGAACTGGGTGAGCAAAATCCCCCCCACTGTAAGAGCAGAGCAAGTCCAAGACCATCTCATGAAGCTAAATGTGTATATGGGGACAGATGACATGCATCCCAGGGTTCTGAGGGAATTGGCTGATGCGGTTGCCAGGCTGTTCTCCATCATATTTGAAAAGTTGTGGTTGTCAGGCAAAGTCCACAGCAGCCAAAAAAAAGGGAAACAACATTCATTTTTAAGAAAGGGAGAAAGGAAGACCCCAGGGAACTAAAGGCCAGTGAACCTCATGTCTGTGCCTGGGAAGATCATGGAACAGATCCTCCTGGAAGACATGTTAAGGCACATTAACATTCAAGACAGCCAGCATGGCTTTACCAAGGAAAGGTGTATAAACAATGAAAATCATATAAAGGAATATTATATAATCAAATAGTATTAAG